CTTGAGATTTCACAATGGCCAAGTTAAGAACAGAGGAGGGTTTGAGGTTGGGGAAACATATCTGTCCACCCCCCCCCCCCCGATCAGATATCTTGCTGCTGTAGGTATCCTGAAAGGAGGGTTGCAGCATCGGAGTCCTGTCCAGTATATCTGAAGGAGTGTCTCCACCCCCATTGTTCTACCCGGACACTGAGGTCCAGCACCGAGGGCCTTCTGGCAGTTCCCTCACTGCGAGAAGCCAAGTTACAGGGAACCAGGCAGAGGGCCTTCTTGGTAGTGGCGCCTTCCCTGTGGAACACCCTCCCACCAGATGTCAAAGAGAACAACAACTACCAGGCTTTTAGAAGACATCTGAAGGCAGCCCTGTTTCGGGAAGCTTTTAATGTTTGATGTATTATAGTATTTTAATATTCTTTTGGAAGCCGCCCAGAGTGGCTGGGGAAGCCCAGCCAGATGGGCGGGGTATAAATAATAAATTATTATTATTATTATTATTATTATTATTATTATTATTATTATTATTTATTATTATTATCCCGGTGAAGATCTAAGCATAAGGCAGGAACGCAGAAGCTTGACAAGAATGTGTTCAAATGAAATGGCTCCCTACCACAGGCTTCTGACACAATATTCAGTATCTGCCGCCTGCCTGATGGCATCCGCACGAAGCTGGCAGGCGATAAGGTGTTTCACTTCCGCAGTTTCCACCTTGCAGCAGAGCAGGCTCAGTGCATGGCTGCTATGGCAACTGGGTTTCTTGGGGGGTTGCGCGGAAATTTCTTTTATGCAACTGGCAGCCGCGCAGGAATCTTTGCTAATGTTACGGGCTGTAACAAGCGCCTACAAAACATGTCCTTTTAGCACAGAGCTGCTCCAAGGAAACGGAACAGAAACTCGCTGGGAAGCAAATCTCATTAAATCTCATTCAGCAGCGCTTTCTCTGGGTGTGTTCAAAAGGCTAGACGGCAAGGAAAGTACTTTAAAACCTGAAGGAGGAATTCCATTTGTAAATCCGCAAGCAGCAGAGTCTGACAGAAAACGTGCCTGCACAGCATTATTAACAACTGAAGACTTCAGCTCTTTTTTTGACTGTACTTCTTTCATTGCTAGTGACACCGCAATATGGACTTTGTAATCTTAAAAAGCATCTTACAAGAGGGAATTATTATGTGTGTGTATGTTTCATGCACAAAAATGAAGATAGCTTGGGCTCCAATAACCCCAAAAGGCAGATTTTATAGCGCAAAAGCCAAAATGTTGCAAGAACACAGGCTGTCATCCAAATTCCTGACTGGTTTTTTAATACGGCTTTGCCTCTGCATTTGGATGGAGCCACAGGCTGCATGATACACTGCAATGCAAAAATCACACCTAGCTAACAGCCTATTGTTTCTCCACTTCCACTTGCTCTGCACTCGGCCAGAGATACTGCCAAGCAGCTTTAGAAAACAATCCACTAGTTGCCAAGAGTAGGTCAGCAACCAGAAACATCATAGCCAGACACTGGAGTGACCTGTCAGGAGTAAGCATGGACCAATGGTACCAAATAGTATGGGAAACAGCCTTACTAGATAGGAGAGCAATCCTGAAGCATTTTGACTCTCCCAATGAGCTCAAATATTCCTCTGCAGTAAGGGAGGCAAATGGGGAAAGCTTTCCCATTCTTTTTCCTTAAAAATCCTGTCTTAAGGGGTATTTGTGTATGACTAGGGTGAGCCTGTGGCCTGGATTCAAGAACTAGAGTATTAACCATCACAAAAGAATGCCCAGGCTGCCCAGGTAATGCAACCAGTGACCATTATCAGGTATCCTGGCAGACAGGATTTCTGCTGTAGACCACCTCCTCTGATGTATGTATGATAATTTTGCAGTGATTTTTGGCTAAGGGGGTTGGGCAATGCCCAAAGTCTTTCTAGGTTCCTGCACACTTTTAATCAGGGTCTCTCCCTCCTTGCAAAGAACTCATAACCCACCTACTTTCAGCAGCCAGAAGCACCATAGCCAGACACTGGGAGAGACCTGTCAGGAGGAAGCATGGACCAATGGTACCAAATAGGATGGGAAACAGCCTTACAGTACTAGAAAAATTAAGCAATAAACTGAAACTGACACAGGGACAAATAGAAGAAGATGCCTTCAACCCGGTATGGCTTCCCTTTATCACATACACAGCCCAACAAGACAAAGACAAGGAGAAGGAGAAGGAGAAGAAGAAGGAGAAGAAGGAGAAGAGGAGGAGGAGTTTGGATTTGATATCCCGCTTTATCACTACCCTAGGGAGTCTCAAAGCTGCTAACATTCTCCTTTCCCTTCCTCCCCCACAACAAACACTCTGTGAGGTGAGTGGGCTGAGAGACTTCAGAGAAGTGTGACTGGCCCAAGGTCACCGAGCAGCTGCATGTGGAGGAGCAGGGAATCGAACCCAGTTCACCAGATTACGAAACTACCACTCTTAACCACTACACCACACTGGCACCACACTGGCAAGAATCCACCAACAGCATACAAATCAATATGGCTAACCTGATTCAAAAACACCCACCCACCCCCCTCACACACGAAAACAAAGTTCACCACAGCCACTCACAAACAAGCAAGCACACCCTAGGCCAACCCCAATTTCTCTCACCACCAAAGGAACACAAGCGAATAGCAAAGAGAACCCACACAAAGGACACTGACACAAACCCCCACACATACATTAAGCAAATGAGAAACATCGCCTCCCGACACCCCCCCGCCTTTCCCTCCTCCACCTCTTCCCCCCCTTTTCTTCCTAATGTAACCCTAACGTCTCAACAAATGAAACTGACCCATGGAAAATGGAACTTGAAAAAAAAGAGACATTGCGCATACCTTTGTAAACCAAGAAAACTTTAATAAAAATAGAAAATAGAAAACAATCCACTGCTGTTCCATTGCAAAACACGGGGGGCCAAAAGCTAAAGGATTGGCGCATCCCGATACACACACAGCTCATTGCAAGTGGCACAATGATAGTACTCTCTGCAAATTTGATTAGGTTTAGGAAACCACATGCCCGCCTCCCGGTTTATGCCGTGGGAGTGGACGAGAGTGGAAACGTCCCCAAGGCAAATGGGGTGCTGCCCCACCAACTTCAATCTGCCCTCAGTCTCCACCCGTTGACTTAAATCCAGTGCAATATTGGCTCTGCATATAATTCAGCAGGGAGTAGGACTTTCCCCTAGCTGTTAAGCTCCACATTATATCCACATTACAGCTGAGCTTTCATCTGACGTAAAAGCCACTTCTGGAACTATCACGGAATACAGCTTAAGTTGGACACTCATTTCCGTGTTATTCTGTGATTACTGGGCTTGTGGGCTAACTCTGTTCAGTTGCCTTAAAACTGTGGCTTCTGTTATTTATTTCAGTATTTATATTCTGCCTTTCTATGGAAAATATTTAAGGCAGAAACTCTCTAGTGATCCTGTTTGCAGGAGGGATCCTATAGCAAAAAGGAACTACCATATTTTTTGCACCATAACACTCACTTTTTTCCTCCTAGAAAGTAAGGGGAAATGTCTGTGCGCGTTATGGAGGAAATGCCTATGGGTGGCAATCCTACAGATTTTCCTCCTCTAAAAACTACGTGCGTGTTATAGAGCGAAAAATACGGTAATTCCTTTTTGGGCTAATTCATAGACATAAACTACACTTCATATCCTGTTCGTGTAACCCATTGGAAAATACAATGATGGTACTATTGTGCAAACTTCACTCAGGCAGCTCCTGTGCCAATCCATGAATGGAGCATCTTTTCCCCCCAGGGTTCCTAAAAGTGTAGTGTATCTTTCATGTATAGTTGTGAATATGCGGTCTTCAGATCTGACATTTTAAAATGTATTTATAAGAGTCTATATAAAACCAATTATATTAAAAATATTACGGCAGCATAGATGAAAACCATTAAGTTATAAAATACCAAATGAACCAAATTAAAATGCATGGCGAAAGCAAAAACATTTTCAGTAGCTAACGGAATATTACATTTGCAGGTGTGTCTCTGATTTCAATACCAAGAGGGCTCCAAAATACTGGTGCCACAATGCTATAAGCCTTTAGCTGCATAGAAACTAAATGAACACAAGATAACTGTGGGCCACTGCAATGCATCTCTCTCTCTCTCTCTCTCTCTCTCTCACACACACACACACAGACAGAGAGAGAGCTGCAAAAACATGAGAGAGAGAGAGAGAGAGAGAGAGAGAGAGAGAGAGCTGCAAAAACATGCTCATTGTTCACATAAATGTGTGACAAAAGCTAAAAGCTTTTTGTGATCAGCTTAGGAATGCTGTCTGATGCCATGCAGCCATGCAAGACTGCAGTTCTGTGTGGAATTAAGCATATTTAAAACCCACAGATTTCAATGGGCTCAGGTGTGCCTAACCCAGCCTACAGTCAAGCTGTTATAGACAGAAATCAACCACTGTGCTGAAATATTTTCTGTATCAGGACTTCTGTACCAAAGTACAGTTAACAGGAATGCATTATTTTCCTTTGTTATAGTACGCATGTGCTTTTATTTTATTGCTGAAACCCCTACTAGACTATAAGTATTTACCTAATCCTCCCCCCCCCCGCCCACCCCTGTGTTGAAAAACCAGACTAGTTACTTTGATCATTCAGCAGTAATTCCAACCATAGCAATGAAACCAGTGTTTCTGTCCCCTATGATCGGAATAATTGGCTAGGGAGTAATCATCCGAAGAAATATCCTGCATATTATCTTGCTCACTGCAAAGGTGGCTTCAAAAAATGGGGGAGGCAGGGAGAGAAAGGTGAAACTGCATATCACAGCATGAAGATGCATCAAAACTAGTCTCAGGTAAATATACCTGGGGATGGTAATGAGAAGAATCTGTCTTCGCTAAACAGTGAGGACTCAAAAGTGATAAATACTACCAGAGGCAAAGAAATTCATCCTTCCTCAGTCTGTAACAAATCAGAGTCAACAGAATTCTAAGGCAAGGACAAGCAATGAGGGAATCTTATTCATTTATTTTCTTAAAATGCAAAAAGGAAAAAAGCAATGCGGTATATTAATTTAAACAGTGATCCTGGATGTTCTAATCAGAATCCAAGTGTGCCTCTGTTGAAAATATTTCTCCCTTTAAGAACTCAACTGCCTCGTCTTTCTTCAGTTTCTGGAATTCCTGGTAATGAACCTGAACAGAAAAAAGGAAGAATGAAATCATGTCAGTTTTCATCCGAATTACAAAAGACCTGCACATTTTAGGTGATTTATATAAAGAATAAAGCAGGAATCCTAATCTCCCACCTGGGAGTGGCAGGCCAGAGCCACTGTTGCATCCACAGCCCTGCCATTCACACCAGCCCCATTCTTTTCTTTGCCAGCACCAGGCTTCACTGCAGAAGCTTTCGCTGGCTATTACCAGTAGAGAAATCACCATCTGCCCACCCATGCCCTTGGTGACTGCAGCAGAGCTCCTTTACCAGTAGAGCTGAGCTGGGCAGAGGAACCCTACCAGTGTGGTAGAAAAGGGGCTTGGATTGCTCCACAAACAGCATAATCGTCTGCATGTGTACGCCCACGTTTCCAAAGTTCAAGAATTAATATATCAATTAATATATATATTCAAGCCACGTTCCAAACGACTATAAATAATTTGCCTTTTTATTGTGAAGTTTATGCAAAGCCTGTGAATACAGGCGTTCAGGTATTAAAAATAAAAGTGCTTTTATCCAGAGACAGAGATTAATACAAGCAGCTCCTCACTTGCTTGCATTCTGTTTGCTCACGACCACACACATACATGGTGCCAAGTACCCAGAAATGGGGAAGACCTTCAAGAGCCCTCCTGGCTCACGAGGAGACCCTCCCTGGAGCCCAAAGCAGACGTCCTCTTTGGGCTGCGTGGAGAGTCTCCTCACAAGCCGGAGGGGCAGCAGGGCTTTGATGAACTGCTCAGCCTCCCTGGCTAACAGCTGACATCCGGGGTAGCGCAGCAGCCTCAGCCACTTCGCTGCCTGTCAGCAGTGCAAATATTAGGGGAAATAAACCAGAAGGACAGAGGCGCTTGGTTGACCAGCTCAGCTGACGTGCTGGGAAGGTTCCCTGTGTGTTAGCTTTGCAGCCTCAACAAGCCTCTGACTCATGAGACAGTGCCCAGGGCCCGAAGAGGACGCCTGGGCTTGCCACAGTTAAGGGCAGGAGCCTTCAGGATCTGGGGAGGGTCTCTGCACGAGCTGGAGAGACAGTGGGATTTTCTCAGCAGACACACATTTTATGTGATTTGGTGTATACACACGGGGGCCTGGAATGTCACCCGTATCTTGTTTCATTTTCAAATTTTTCTTAACAACCTGCTCAAGACTACTAAAATTAACAGAGTTCCAAGTTTTCTGATGGAGCAGCATTGTGGCTTCCCTTACCAGAATCACGCGATAGCTCAGAAGACGCAGGTGTCTCATCCTCATGGCCAACCTCCCTCGGGGATGTTTGGACGCAAAACAGAGCGCAGACGCAGGGGCACACACCACAGCTATCCTATAACCAAGAGAAGCAGTAATGATGTCTACAAAAGTCATGAACTTGGCTGCACTAGTCTGAAGGACACTGCAGCTAACAGTGTACTGAAGCAAGGATCATGGGGCAGAAGGCCCCTATGCATGCGTGTTCGGTGACAATTACATTGACGCTTATTTTCTTTTAAAAAAACACGTCGCCATTTCTGACTCGCAAGGCACTCTTGAGAGTCTCCACTGGGGGGTTGTCAAAGCCTCACATTTTTGTTTTAGTTATCAAATTCCTTGCCACAAACTATCAGGTGAGCAAGTGCCTGTGATCTAGTTAGTAAATACATTTGTAATACAAATAGGCCAGAAAATAAGGCAAAGTGTTTGTTATAGCTCTCCATTGAAATTATGTTTCCAGCACATTCTGACTAACCTCTTCACTAAAATATATGGACCACCCATCCAAATAAATTAACTCTTAATGTCTTGGAAGATTAAGAAAGCTAAACCGTTGAGCCTGGAAAAAGCCCATGAAATAAAAATGGAAAGAAACCCTGTACAGACGAAATTAATCCGTTCCGCGAGTCTCTTCGTCTTGCGGTTTTTTCCTCTTGTGAAGCACAGCTATTAACGGCTTAGCGGCTATTAACGGCTTAGCGGCTTTAAGAAAAAGGAAACAAACTCGCAAGAACTCGCAAGACGTTTCGTCTTGCGAAGCAAGCCCATAGGGAAATTCGTCTTGCGGAACGACTCAAAAAATGGAAAACCATTTCGTCTAGCGAGTTTTTCATCTAGCGAGGCATTCGTCTTGCGGGGCACCACTGTACTCAAGCTAAAGGTACCTTTGAATGTCAGACTTATCTGTCACTTCAGCATTTGGTATCACTATTCCCTTCTCTGCATCCATTAAGATTTCAAAATCTGAAAAAAAGGAAAATATTACATTCTTATAAAATAAATTGTTACAAGACTGAACTCTATTCAGGAATGTGCAGTAAAAAGAAAATGTGCAAACACTAGTGTTTTAGTAACAGTTATACCAAATATATATTATCAGGGCTATAAATTTTTACAGCCACTAATAAATGCAAGTACAACTCTTGCAGCAGCCTGGGGAAAGGCAGGTTTAAATGGAAAGAAATGGGAATTGCAGATATGAGCCACAATCCAGCACACGCTGGATATTTTCCTCAGACCATGGAGTGGCGTTAATTTGTGCCAGGTGCAACACAGGCATTTATTTCCAATGCCATGGTTTTACCCAGAAATGAAAGGTGCACAAATGGATAAAATGGCATCTTGGCATGCGCAACGCTAATATCTCTCACTGCTGAGAAAGGAATCAAAGAACTATACCACTGGAAGGGACCCAGAGGGTCATCAAGTCCAACCCCTGCAATGCAGGAATCTCAACAGGACCACACTTAGGGGGGATTTGGCAAAGGCAACAGCTTCCAGATGAGAAGGCACCATTTCCAGATAGACCTCAGCTCCACTCTTTCTGGCCCACTGAAATTAGCAGAAGTAATAATAATAATAATAATAATAATATTTTTTTATTTATACCCCGCCCTCCCCAGCCAAGGCTGGGCTCAGAGCGGCTTACAAGCAATAATAAAAACAAGAAGAATGATTACAACTTAAAAACAAAAATAAAATACAACATTAAAATAATGGAACATTAAAATAATGTAGCCTCATTGCAGGAGGAGAAGGAAAAGAAAAAAGAAAGAGAGGGAGGGAGGGAATCAAACTGGCTCCAAGCCAAAGGCCAGGCGGAACAACTCTGTCTTACAGGCCCTGCGGAAAGAAATCAGATCCTGCAGGGCCCTGGTCTCATGAGGCAGAGCGTTCCACCAGGCCGGAGCCAGTGCTGAGAAGGCCCTGGCTCTGGTTGAGGCTAATCTAACTTCCTTAGGGCCCGGGACCACTAGGGTGTTGCTATTTATGGACCTTGAGGCTCTCCATGGGGCATACCGGGAGAGGCGGTCCCGTAGGTATGAGGGTCCTAGGCCGTGAAGGGGCTTTAAAGGTCAAAAGCAGCACCTTAAATCTGACCCTGTACTCCACCGGGAGCCAGTGCAGCTGGAAAAGCACTGGGTGAATATGCTCTCATGGCAGAGACCCCGTGAGGAGCCTCGCTGCAGCATTCTGCACCCGCTGGAGTTTCTGGGACAGCTTCAAGGGCAGTCCCCGTAGAGCTCTCCCCACCAGATGACCAGCGTTCATCCTGATTTGCATGCGCAAATGTGGTGGTTAAATTATCTAACTAAATTAATTAATCTGTTTGTGGAGAGACGATAACATTCATGCTGATTATCTTGTGCGGTGTTTACTTGTCTTCCCATCAAACATTCATTTCGGGCCACACTTTACATTTCCAGGTCACTTTCCAGATTGCAAGAAGTCAAGATTCTTTGTTAGATTTGTTGTGCTAGGACAACAAACTGCTTTAATCTACTTTAATCATGCAACCGCAGATCACAACAAAGATGCTACTGGTAAGTTTCTGCTCAAGCCAAGTGCCTCTTTGTGCTCATTGCTCCTCTCTTCCCACTTTGCCCTCCTCGGTTTTCCGCAAATTGCCATTATTTTGTAAAGGCAGTAACCGTAATGCGCTCTCCCATACCTAGAGAGAA